ATACTGTAAACAATTATTTATATATATTTATTAGTAGAGGCCCTATGCCTTATTTAGAAATGTGACCAATCATTTTATATTTGATTCCTCCTCTCTTCAGAGCTTTGCGTTTCATTGCATCGTAGGGGGGAATCCTATCTTCTAACATCAAGTTAATAATACAAGAACAATAGACTAGAGAAGGCACACAAATAGATACATCAGAATACAGAGTAAATAATCCACACACTACATACAATCTGAACAGAACCATCAACAGAAAACAAGCAGACACACAACATAGAAGACATACGAGAGAAGATACAAACAACACACATCCAACTGAAACCATTTGACAGCTTCCTGCAAAAAATGCACTTTATCTGCTGCCTCCCAGCGCGCGCACACCACACACACACACAACACACACAACACACACACACACACACACAACATACACATACACACACGGGTGTGTGTGTTCTTGTCACCAGAAACAGTGTACACGCCTAACCTCTATCGTGTGTGTGTTGTGTTGTGTGTGTTGTTGTTGTTTGTGGTGTGTGTGTGTGTGCTGTGGTTAGTACTGCTGGGAACTTTACGAGTGTGTGTGAACCGCTCGGTTTGGCCGGAGGCTGCTGGTAGGGTATGGAAAATACATTAAACACACACACTCTCTCACTCTCTCTCTCTCTCTCTCTCTCTCCCAGACTCTTCCTTCAATCTCTGCTTTTTTCATTGTAATGAGTTATTGGCATGAAAATGAAAACATCAACAGCCAACAATCTCTCCACATTCTTTCTCTTTACTACTTTTTCTGCCTCCCTCTCTTTTTAAATCATAATACGCTATATGGCTAAAAGTATGTGGACGCCCCTGTCCAACAGATTGTGTTGTGTGTCATTCCTGTTTCATGTGGGAGAACTTGACCCTGACCTCAGTGTGAAACACTCCCAACTTGTCAAATACTGTTGGATTGGACACTTTTTTGGACATTATACCTGCCATTAACAAGATTCATTTAAGACAGCAGTGGGTGTTTTCACTGTTGAAGGTAGAATAAAATGTTTTTTGTGTATGAAAATAGAGTCGCTGTTCTTTTAATGTTTCACTCTTTCCATATTTATAGAACATAATCTTTGAGAGATTAGTGAATATGATCTAAAATGCTGGTTTGATTATTTTCACATCAAACTCGGACATTATTTCAACTTGTTTGACAAAACGAATACAGATATATCAGCGATCACGGGTTGTTGGACTGATGTTAACCTATCGTAGGCTACGCACGGGGATACAATGCAACCAAATCCTGCACACAGGTCTCATAAGTTCAGTCAAAACTTCAGTTAAAAGAAACTGTTGACTTTTTACATGGGACGCCAACAGTGGACTCCTGGGTTAAAGTCCTGTCTGTTTGAACCATCCATCCCCCTCTTACACCACGTCACCTGAACTTGTGTCCAGAAATGAGGCTGGAAGGACCTACGGCATTATGATTTTTCAGCGGCAGTGAGACGGGTTGCTGATGCTCTGATGGGTGAACATCTGGAGGACGAGCTGGCTATTAAGGAACATGATGTCACAGTCACATGTGGAGGGAATGTTCAGGTGTCCACAAACTTTTGGCAGAGACAGTTGGCTCTTATGAAATCTTAGAAATAAAATTTAATAAAACACTTAATGAAACCTGTGTCTGTGTGTGTGTGTCTAGGTGTGTGTGTGTGTGTGTGGGTCATTATGCATTTGGTACATTTTCAGCGTGCTGTTATGAACCTCAATAAGCTTCTCAGCAGTTTCTTTTTAGGAAAACGTAACTTTCAGACCTACTGACACACTGACACACAGTGACATCATCAGAGTGACATCATCCGTGTGTCAGCGCCGCCCTGCTACACACACTGGTTTACTTACGGCACTTATTGGGGACATTACATAGAGTTGCATTCATTTACTAGAGACTTACTCCAACCATAACCACTGACACAAAAATCTGCTTTTTGTATAATGAGGGACACATCTTTTGTCCCCAGTTGGACAAACTAACCAGTTTAGCCTGTGTCCCCAGAAGGTAGCTTAAGTAAGACAGGTAGCTTTATGAGCGAATGAATTAGCAAACATAGAAACAAATCACCAATCAAATGAATGAACAAGTGATCAATGAAACAAACAAACAAATAATCGATCAATCGTACATATCTCAAACTACTGAATGAACAAACGAGCATGAAAAAGAACGACTCAATGATCAACTGAGGAAAGAATCAATATCATTAGAACTGACAAATAAACAAACAAACAAAAGTACAATCATTGAGCGATCAATCAAACGAATAAACAAATGATCAACAAACGGACAAAACTTAAGAACCAAACAATGAATCAGTGATTGTTAGATGATCACAGATCGGTCGAACGAACTGACAAACTAAGGAATAACTGATCGATCAGACGAAGGGCAATCAAGCAAACAAATGAACCAAGAGACTATTAAACAATAGTTTTACTGAACAAATCGTCTAATGAATGTTTTATTGATCAACTGATGGACTGAACAAACCACGAGCAACAAACTTCAGGCACTAAACAGATGTGAGATATTAAAACAAAGATTTTCTGAGACTTTATGAGTCATACTTGTTAAAGAAAAAGCTTTCAGAGGATTTAACTTCCTGCTGTGATGTTGACGTCTTTATATTCGACTCGTTCATAAGAAAACAAACTAAACCTGGAAATGTTCAGAGCGTCACAGTCGGCAGCAGCATTTATGGATGTATATATTCATAACAACAGAAGTGAAGATAGAAGCTGAAGATGAATTTCTGACAATATTTGGAAGAAATGAATCAAAGCATCAAAGCGTGACGCTTGTGATGAGCTGCAAAGGTTTCAGCATGACTTCAAAATAAAAGCACTTTGCAACGATGAAAGAATAAACCAGATGGAAACAACGTCTGACTGCAGATTTCATGAAAGAGTCGTGACTTTTTCTGCAACATGACAAGCGGTTTTGTTAATGGAGGCACATGACATGAAGAAAACGAGGCGTGCTCGGGCACAGAGATGGAAAATATGAGTAGAAAAAAAGGAAGACAGAAGTGGGATGAAGCGAGGAGGAAACAAGTGAATGGAAGATGGAAACATGGGAAGAAGAAAAGATGGAAATCGTATAAATCACTGCTGTCAGATGAAACTGCTGCATCTCTGAGAATACTGGTTTTCCAGCGTTTTTAAAGATCATTTTCATGTTGCCAACGGGTTCTTCATGAGGAAACTTCAACACTAAACTCCCTTAACTTTCTCTTTGAGTAAGAAATGCAACATTTTTTCCCAACAGCAGGAAAACACAGCATGGAAAACATGAATGACGTGAAAAACAAAACATGAATGAAGGCAAAAACATGAAGAAAATAAAACAGCATATACCAAAAGTGCTTCACTCTGTTCATATTTTATATTATCCACTGAGCCAAAGAAGATTGAAACGTCTTATAATGTGAAATTGGATTACTTTGAACTCTCAAACATTGGGAAATATATATTCAGTCATATATATTAGCTTTCTGCATCTCACAGTTAGTAAAATAATTACAATAATGATTATTGGTTCGTAATGTGCTTTAAATGAAGATAAATGCTCATTTAATTTCAATTAGAGCATTAAATGTCTCAATATCTTCAGATAATAATTATAATAGACTTTACTTTGCACACTAAACTCATTACATTTAATTATTAATAATTTATTCACATCTCCACTTCTCATCTAACCGAGGGACACAGAGGATTTTATTACTTCTGACAACTGGAAAACAAAACACTTCATTTGACTCAGTGTCAAACTATTTGTTTATTTTTGTTGATTTGCTCTCACAGCTGTTTATTTTCTGGGAAATAATAATAAGAAATTATGATTGATTTCTGTGGTTGTCTGACTGAATGGTGATTAATGGTAAGCGGGTGTGTGTTTGTCTCTCCAATGTTTCCCGCCTTGTGTAACACCATGACCTCCCCCGTGAAAATGAATGCTGTGTGATTGTGATTTATTAGGTGTTGGTTCAGGAGATGAGTCTCAGTGGAAGCTCAAACGGTGAAAAATGATCCAGAACACAGGATGTGAATTTTACATTTCTGTTAGTTTTATGTATTAATGTGAGGAAGGTTCCATCAGATCTGTGCACAGCGACAGTGGATGTATGAGGAGGCATATTCAGAAAAAGTGTTTCCATCTCCCATTAAAGTCAGGAATCTCAAACTGCCTGTCCGAGGACCATTCGCTGCCTTCATCCGCTTTCTCTGACCTGTGACCTGGAACATTATTATTATAAGTTGTAGTTCAGATCAGTTTAAACTACTTCCTCATATAATATTAAAATAAAAACACAGTTCTTGTTTAAAAAGACTTGATAAGAAGAAAGAAGGTTTCAGGCCTTCTTATGATATTTGGATGCAAACAAAGATGATCTAAAATGTATAAAAACTGTTATAGATAGGTAGGTATGATATTAGTAATGGAAACATTTTCTGAATATGGCGCTTTGTTGTAGTTCTTTAAGTGTTGAAGTGTCCCCCCCGAGACATGACACACCACCCCCATCCAGTTTGAGTTTGAAACCCCTGCATTAAGCGCATTACCTCAAGTGAGTGTTAACATTTTTGTGTTTTTGTTTCAGATTTTCAATTTTCAATCAAACTTTTCTAATGCAATAAGACAAAGAGCTCGACATCGCTGTACGTCTGAGTAAAACTCTTTATAACTAGCTGTAATTTTAGCAACATAAAATGCTAGCAAGCCCTTAATGTTTGCTACATTCACACTTAAGCCTAAATTTTTGGTTTGTGTGACGAGCAGATGTCAATGTGATCTCCACCTCTTCCAGGAATTATTGACTCTTTATCAGTTTCACAGCTGTGAGAGCAACTTTCATTTCCTCCTGTCAGTTAAACACATTAAATCTGCCCTGACGCTTCCTGCTCTGATCTGAAGGAGAGACCACGTGGAGGCCGAGCCGGGTTCCTACCGTGCCTGGGCAGAATCATCCACAGCAGGATGACAGGGACAACATGACGGAGCCTCCACCTTCCTCCTCCTTCTCCTCCGCCGCCGCCGCCGCCTGTACAGGACTCCCTGCAGGAACAGAGGGGGGAGCAGTCAGAACAATATGAGCTTGTTGTGGTCTTCACACCAGCCATCAACATACTCTTCATATTCAGACGAGTGTGTGATTTAGCTTGTTTACGCTCACACCGACACACACAAGCACACACACTCAAACCTTCAACGAGTCAGCTGCTTCGTCTCTGAAGGTTTCATCATCATCATCACTTTATTTTTGCGCAGTTGAATCAGCTTCCATAACCTTTATGTCGTATGCCAGGATAATCAACACAAAGACAACAAAGGATGTCATAATGTAACTGAACATTTGATCCTCCACACAACACCAACCAACCCCCAGATACAACCACTGCCCCCGCCCCACTGGCCCCCCTCAGTACTGTATGCAGAATAATATTAGGTACTGTTCATTTGAAATTAATAATGTTTATTTTTACACAATAGTTCATGTGAAGGAAAATAACAACAAGCCTGCTGCTAATGACCGTCCGTGGTATATTTCAGGTGGCGATGATGTTGTAACGAGGTAACAGACTCTTTGAGCTGCTGATGAGACGAGTCGTCATGAGAATGGAAGAGAGAAATGTTCACGATGTCCTGTTTTTTTTATTAATTAAAAGCTGCTCAATATTAACCTCATAACATGAAGAGTTTCTGTAAATTAATACTTTTGTAAATGCATGTGTTTGCTGTCTCATCCCTGTGAGTTCAGGAGACATAATGTGGACCTCCACCAGAAGGAGAACTCCAACAGTTCAGACATAAATCCAACATGTGCTCATACACAGTGATGTACAGATTAATAGAACTCAGTTTACTGCGACTGTATTGAACCCACTGAACCATCATCTGATGGAATTTATAGAACTTGAGTAGAACTGATTATTTGTGCATCTGTAACATAATAAATGTATAAACTGTATTTCCTTCAGTAACGTGTATACTTTTGGTTTCACAACAGTCTGATCATAGACACTCACACAGATTAGTTATGTCAGGTACGTAATGATTAGCCATTAACTTTTGTTATCATCGTTTTAGAGTTGCAGCTTCTGCACTGTAAAGATTTTCTGCTTTGGTTTTTAAATCATTTTAATTTGAACTTAAAGCAGCAACAAGGAGCCTTCATTCCATGTTGATTCTGACTCCCCCTGTGGACAAAAGCGGCAATGTTTCTACCGCCTTGTTTAATTAATTTCAAGGGGAATCCGACAATAATTCTATAGTATATATTATATATTAATATATATATTCAATCTTCTCTCTCATTGTCTGTGTTCATGGAGCTCATTTAGAGACATCAGTAATAAATCGAGACTGTTTCATAACCAGTTAAACTTCTGTATATAGTGGGTTTAATATTTTTAAGGTTTTCGGATTTTTGAAAATAAAATAAAAAATAAAGACATTTACACTACACACTTCAGTTCAGCTATAAATCATTCAAATGTCTGACGAGGTCAGAGCAGCGCCTTCATGTTGTTATTACCCATCAGCTCTGTTTGGATCCTGCCCATCTATCACACACACACACACACACACACATATAATTAAGGGACTGACACCTGAGTGTGACACTGGCTGTCAGCCGTCTGACGCCCGAGTTCATCTCTCATTCGCCTTGACAGAGGTCGAGGAGCTCTCGTCCGCTCGCCAGAGATTAAAACAAAAGGTGGAAGGAGTTCGTCATGTATAGTTGATGAGGGTTCGGTGCCGAAGCTCATCAGAGAAACATGATCAAGATATTTCTGTGTTTCTGTCTCTCTGACATAGTTGAGTTCTGTACAGTTACACACATTTTCTATTTGACTTATTAATCATTGTACACTCATTTGAGTTTATTTTGAATGTTGTTTGAATGAAGCTTTTCTACCCTTAAAAAAGTAAAAGATTGGTGGAAAAATTTGGAATATTTGATCTGTTTTCTTCTAAAATAAAATCAGCTTCCCATGAATAACAGTATCTGTATCAGCCTCTGACAGCCAGTGTTGGTATGACATCAGCCTGTACGTGTTTATTGCATTTGGCAGATAAACCCAGCTCCACTCTCGTTGGTGTGGTGAAAAAATAACAAATCTCGATTTATCTCAACACGGCGTGTGCTGTTACTCAACCCAGCTGCTGTTGTTTGTGTCCTGGGACGAAAAAGACCTGAAAACCACCCCATTTCCACAGAACGCCCAGAGGCGGCTTTTTAGAGGCTGACGCCCAAAAACATGTAGCGTTTGGCAGCTCAAGGTGCATTAAGGAAGTTTAAGTTGATGTGACCCTGCAGCTTATCTGACAAGTTGTCTTATCTGGTGAGGGGATAATGTGTCTGCCCCATAACCTTTCTGTCCGTATCTCATTAAATAACACGTGTCACAGTTAGTTCCTGGAGATACATTTTGACACAGTATTACAGTATTTAGTGAAGTTTATGGTGTTAATCCTGTAAATTTAACTTAAGTGGTAACATTGGCATAAAGAAGAATAGTAATGTGCATTAAAGGTAGTCTTACTTTATGACATTCATATGCACCATTTCTCAAAGTTTAAGAAAAACAACAATTAAAACAATTTAAGCATTCAAAAAATATTTGAGGAAACCGATAAACAAATTTATGTATTCAAATGTATTAACTCAAATCAAACAGTTTGAGTTGAATTAACTCATCATGTTACAGTGTGCATTAAAGGTAGTCTTACTTTACTCAGATAAATAACATATTTTAAATAAGTTTGGAGAAATGCAATATACAATATATAATACAATTAACGGAGTTTATCTAAGTTACCTTAACAATAAATACCTGAGATACTTGGACTCAAATAAAATCTTTTTTCATGCTTAAATTGTTGGAGCTCAAACAGGTTGAGTTGAAATAACTCATCCAGTTTATTTTAAAAGTTATTTTACGTAACTTAAGCACATAAATAAAGGGTAACTTCGCTATTCAGCAATGAGTTTAACAAGCAGAAGCGGCTTCGGCTATATGATTCAACCACATTATGTGCATTAGCAGTTAGAAGGCCACATGAAAATAAGTGTTTCTAAGCAGGCAAATGTCACCATCAGCGTACAATCTCCTCTGCTTCAACACAGATTTCCACCCAAACCACCAACTTTCAGACCCACAGTGAACCGAATCTGAACGATGTTTTCGGTATTTTCATTGGCCCATCTCGAGTTGGCTTTAACATATTTAAGTGTCACTGCTGTCAACACACTGTAAAAGACAGAACTGACAGCTGTGTGATGTCAAAGCTATAAAAGCAGCAATCAGAGTCGGCAGAGCGTGAACATAAACTCAACTCCTCATCAGAGTCACAGAGTTACAGCATCAAGTAGCAGAACACTCTAAATTACACAAAATGGGGATGAAACGGTTTTAAAAAAGTTAATTATTGTATTTGTAAAAAATCCTCGACCTTCGTTTCCGTTAGTGATTGATCACTGACAGGTCTGACTTTTATCATTGTAAACTGAAATATTTTAATTAGGGAACACCAGTGTAGCTCTTGGATTGGCTGGTTGCTCCACCACTTTGGTTCAGATTGAAATATCTCAACTGTTATGTACTACACATATTAATGACTAATGGCTTTGCCCAAAGTTCACACCTCTTAAGATCACTAACACGCTGTATCCAGTGGTACCCAACCTTCTTTAAGGGACCCCTTCTCTGTCATCGAGTACACTGACCCAAGTGCCATTTTATGGGTATTTCATAATATATTTAGTGTGTAACAATAACAGTACAAAACAGCTGATAAACTGTACAATGAACACAAACAGTGAACACCATAACTGCAGGAGGTTTGTGTAAAATTAGCAATTTGGATGAATCTTTAGCAGATTATTTCTTGTAAATATTGCATCAAATAAACTTTCCTAAAACTTTTAGGAAAATTTTTTACAATTCTATGTCTATATTATGTATTTTTAGAATTTGAACAATATATCAACATATTTTCTAATGCAGGACAAGGCTGTTTAGAACACAGTGAGTTATCCATCTGAACTTTCCCAAAATGTTGACCTTTTAAAAACATCTTTTCCATGAAGTTCTTTGCTCTACTCTTTAGTTCTGATATAATTGATGCTAGCAGCAGCTACGCTAACCTCTTTGGGGCTGATAAGTGTCTCGCTGCGACCCTAGTGCCCACTCCCCATAGCTGCTAGTACTTCTTCAAAGGATGCTGATTGGTCCGGTACCAGCCCCAAACACATAGCTTGAAGCCTTTTAAGATGGATTCTCAGTGGTTTTGTGATTTCTGCCTCTTAAGGTTGCAGCCCTACGTATACAGCAGCAACCAACACTTTTATCATTCCATCCAGCAGCTAGTTTCATACAGAGGACTTCATGATGGGTGTAACACAGGCTGACTCTCATTCACAAAGTTTCCCCAGTGTTTGTCTAGTTGATCTTAAACCTTTAGAGAGATAGGAAGTCCTCTGTTAGTCTCCAGAACAGCGGAGGATCTCAGTCTGCTTGAATAACTCGAAGTGGCAGCTGCTCATTTACTGATCAAACTGATGAATTATTAAACAGTCACGCTAGACTGTAATTAAAATAGTACAAGGTGGAGGATGAAGACAGAGAAGTGAAGTTTTAGACGTACTGAACTTTTAATTAAATTTTTCTTTTCTTTTACTCTCTCGTCATTTGAAGTGAACTCAACTCTTCTCCTACTTGGACGCACAGTGCGTGCATCATAAATATTTAAAAGCAGCAAGAACAGAACTCGATTTTCATTTCATCGTCCGGCTTTGTCGTGTCCAAATTCATGCAACTCCTGACATTAAAGAAAACTCGCCTCTTTGTCAAGTCATGCGTCTTGTTTCCTTGTTTCCCCTCCTCCCCGCCTCCATCTCCAGCATGGAAATGGGAGTGAATGACAAGTGGAGCGAGGTCAGCGAACAAGGCCGCGGACACGACCACATAAAGAGAGCAATTCATGTGTCTGCAGGGCTGGATGGCAGCCGGCAAGCCCTCGAGCCTCCAGTCAGACATTTTGTGGCCCAG